GCTCTGCTCAGATTCTACCTTCCTGCTAATGTGCTTCCTGGGAGGCAGCAGGTGATGGTCCCTAGTGCTTGGGTCCCTGCCACCCACTTGGGGGATCTGGATGGAGTTCCAGGCTCCTGGCTTTCGCCTGGCCCAGCCCCTGTTGCTGCAGGCATTTGGAGAACGAACTAGTGGATAGATCTCTCTATCTCTGTCTCTCTGCCTTTCAAACAAATAGAAATTATTTTTCTATAAAAGCTCAGTACTCTACATATAATAAGATACAGCGTACTGATAAGTTAGTTGAGTTTTTATTGCTGCTTTTTTCAGGTTTGTTGTAACTATGACTCCACTTTATGGGAAATTCTCCAGAGAAAATACAAAGAAAATGGGGTGGGGTGGGGGGAATGGTAGGACCAGGAATTAAGGCCTCCTATTGTAATTTGGGAAACATTTGCCCATAACAAAGGGTGGTTTATTCTTAAAATAAAAAAGACTCACTAATGTTATACATGATTTGAATTATGGTTGATATCTAGTAAACATAGTTGCTTATGTACTTTTAGAATATTTTCAATGTACCTAGTTTAGTTAGCAGGGGTGTAGTTACTATTAAGAGTTAAGAATACCTTAAAAGTGTTTTTTCTACAGAATCCAGGGCTGAAGGTGACATACACTTTTGGAAATCAGAAATGTGGATACACTAAAATATTTGCAGGCTGTAAAATGGCCTTGTGGAGTTTGTAAAAATAATTAAAGGAGGCAAGAAAGTCAGATATTCAAGGCAAAGCTTATATTTGCTTTTACACATTTTTAACTGATTTAAAAATAAGTTAGAAATCTAAATACTTTAGGTTTAGTAAAAAATAGGCAAGTGTTAATGTTGTCTCTAAGAGCTTGGTGAGTTCTATGAACCCTTTGGGTATACTATTTATGACTGGCAAAGCAACCTCCTAATTCAAAGAGAGAAAGAGAAAAAAAAAACTTATAAAGACTCATAGGCTTTTTCAACATCAAATAGCTTTTACTAAACAACATTTTGATGAGTTAAGTGTGAGTGAGTCAGGGACATATGGATTAAATTTCCCTTGAAATACACATGGACTTAAAAATTAAGGGAAAAATCCTGAGCAAAATGCATTTTAGAGGATCCAGAATGCTTTAAAGACATTTTTTCCCTAAACATAGATATCAAGTTGAATTACTTCTCGTTGAGACTCTGTAACTAAAACTATGTAAGAATAACCTGGAGAAATCTTTTTAAAAATGCTAGTTGTGCTGGAGAATGAATGTTACATCTGCTGTATTAGGACTGTGTTGCATGCAGTAGCAAGGCCTCAGCGGACTGGTCTAATACAGACATTGTTTGCATTTGTGTCTGTAACAATGAACATGTTCTCTTCTCTAGGACCTACTCAGACCACTAAACAACTGTGATAAAACTTTCAGGATTTGGGGAAGAATATTTTTAATAACATGTTTCTCTGAGAAAAACTCTTAGCTTTTAGAATTCCTTTAATTTTATTACATTGTCCAAGATTCTGAGTCCTTTCTTCTTCCCAAATGCTCCAGACATCATTGAACCTCCCTTCTACATCAGTTCTTGGTAACATTCAATTTATATATCATCAACTCTATGGTATTCACATATTCTAAGTGCAAACATTGAAGTTCTAAATCCTAGCCTATCATCTCAATTGCCAACTTTCATTTAGTAGGGAAAACGATTACATATCCCAACGTCTTGGTTATTTGAACTACTGAGATAGTTGGTACTGGAGCTAATTCTCCTGAGGTTATTTTCCTATCACAGTCTGAGTACCTCCACACACACTAGATAGTTATGAGATATATTAGGGAATAAATGAGCAAGTAAATGCACACAGAGAGATTTAGGGAGGCAGAAATAGTCAACCTTAAGAAAAATCATAAATCCCCTCAATATCTTTTCTTTCATCAATTGGTACCTGATTTTACTTTGAAATAGGACATGATTGTAAGAAATGAGGACATTTTGACCAGTTTATAATAAGAAAAACAGCTTTAAAACATTGTACCCTCTAAGCACCAGGAAGAATACAACTGGCAACTGTCATGGGCGTCCACGCAAGTCAGGAGAGAGATGACACTTCATAGAACTCCTCTGTATGTCTATATTTTTTCTCATTCTTAGTTTATGTAACTCATTTTCTCTGAGTTTCACGTTCTTGATCTTAGTGTCTCTGTGTGTAAAGGATTATAAACCTACCACTTTGAAAAATCCATTAAAAAATCCAACTCATACTTTGATACTTCTCCTTGTGTCGCTATTTTCCTATGCTAACTACTCTTGCATAAATATGCAAAGCAATGGGAATTCACTGGTTATAGAGCAACTTTCCACATGTTATTTTTAAAATTAAGAGTAGCAGTGGTAACTTCAGTTTATAAATTGGAAGTGGAAGAGAAATATAGTTAAAATGACACCATTAGTAGCAGTGGGACTGGAATGAAGACAAGCTTCACTTTAGGTGTCCATATCATGGAAAAGGGAAGTGATGAACCGCATAATTACTTGAATGATTCAGTTAATATTAACAGATAATCTGATAATTCAAGTCCCCCAGTACTTTATTTTATTTATTTATTTCCAAGATTTACTTATTTATTTGAAAGGTAGAATTACAGAGAGAGAGGAGGAGAGAGGGAGATATCTTCCATTCACTGTCTCACTCGCAAAATGGTCACAACAGCCAGGACTGAGCCAGGCAAAGCCAGGATCCCGTAGCTTCATCTGTGTCTCCCATGAGGGTGCAGGGAGAGGCTTAACCTACTATGCCACAGTGCTAGCCCTCTGAGATAATTTTGTAATTAATTAATGTTTATAATTAATTTATATCCAAGGCAAACAAAACAAAACATGTTACAGCTTTTGTACTATTAAAGTATTGGGGTTGATGCTGTGGCTCAGCAAATTAAAGCCATGGCTGGCAGCACCAGCAACCCATATGGGCAAGGGTTCGAGTCCCAGCTGCTCCATTTCCTATCCAGCTCCCTGCTAATGTGCCTGGGATAGCAGTGGCAGATGGTCCAAATGCTTGAGCCTCTGCACTCCACAGGAGACCGGAAAGAAGCTCCTGGCTACTGGCTATGGATCAGCTCAGCTCTGGCTGTTGAGGCCATTTGGGGAGTGAACCAGCTAATGGAAGACCTCTCTCTCTCTCTCTCACTCTCTGTAAGTCTGCCTCTCAAATAAATAATCTTTAAAAAATTATCTCTGATCTCCTGTTTACCTACATAACATTTTTCAATGGGAATCTTGCAAGGACAAGTAATTGTGTTAGACGATTTCTTTAGAGTTCAAAGGTAGATAGTATTTGGCTGCTGCCTTTAAAGAATTTAAAGTCTAAAAGGGGATAGAAAACATGGATAAACACCTGTAACACAAGGATTTATATGATACATGTTTTAAGAGTGATACTCTTAAAAATATTGTGGGGGTGAATATAATTTGAAAAGAGATGATAACAAGTGTTGGGAAGGATGTAGAGAAATTGGAATCCTTACTGTTGATGGGAATGTAAAATGGTAGTCACTTTCGTAAACAGTCTATCAATTCCTCAAAAAGTTAAACACAGAGTTGTTATCTGACCCAGCAATTCCCTTCTTAGGTATATTACTCAAGAGAAATGAAACACATGTTCAGATAGAACCTGCACACGGACGGTCCCAGAAGCATTATTCATAATCCTCCCAAAATAGAAACAACCCCAATGTTCATCGATTAATGAGAGGATAAGCAATGTGACATGTCCATAAAATAAGAATGGTCTCTGTTAAAATGACATGTGTACATGCCATATTATGGATGATCTTCGAAAACAAGCTAAGTGAAAGAATCCAGACAAAAAACTACATATGATTCCATTTATCTGACACTTTCAGCCTAGTCAAATCTATATAGACAGAAAGTAGGTTATTTGTTGACCAGGGCTACAGAGGGAAATAGGAAACTTAGAGGGGAGAGCCAAAGGATACAAGGTTTCTTTGAGGGGTGATGAAATGTTTTAAGAATGATTATGTTAAGGGTCACATTATTGTGAATATACTAAAATCACTGTATTAAACAATGTAAATGGGTCAGTTTTATGACAGATGGATTATATTTCAATAGAGCTGTCTTAAAAAATGTTAGCTAAAAATGCGATGGGGGTGGCAGGATTGGCCAGTGAATATTTCATGAAGTGTTTGAAGTGATTCTTAGAGAATGAGTAGAATTTTTAATAGCAAGAGATGGGGAATGTGTGGAACAGAAAGAAACAAATGTACAGGTGACGAAAGAAGTACCTTAGTTTTTGTATTTTAGTTTAGGCCATGGGAAATCTTTTAAGATACCGGACATTAACTGGATGGGAGAACAGCTTACAGATAGAAACAACAAAAGAATAAAATGATTATAACATAGCAATGAAAATGAAGCATAAAGACCATCATTGTCATCATTCAACTCAGAGACCTCTAAATCAGAAAAATTAACTTTTTAAAGTGTCCTTTATTAAAGTTTTGTATGGATTCTAATTCTATTTTGTAAAATATTTCTATTGCCACCATAGAATCCTCTAAAATAAATAAGCTACATTTCATTAGTGGGACACAATTCTTTCTTATCAGTTGAATTACCTCATTTGTCAAGTTATATACATGAATTAATTATTTCAAGAAAAAAATCTGCTAAGTTTCAAGTTAAAATAAAATAAGAGATTTTAGATTAAAATCAGTTGAATTGTACCAATTAATCTCAATATTTTAAGTAAAAATATAGTTAGTAAATTGAAATCTTTAGTCACATATGGAATCTGAGGTGCTTATTCACTTTGGTGAATCACTATAAACCAAAAAAGCAATTAAAGTAAATTAAGTTAGGTGTTATTAATATAATAATTACTTAATTGATTGGCATACTTCTATACTACAATTAGATTAGCAATTTGCTACAATACATAATGAATTGAGTAATTAGTAATCACACACATTTAACTTGCCTCTTGAGATGAACAGCTTGGGAAGAAAGGGAACTAAAAGTGAAACAGAAAATTGCATGACATATAAAGCTATGCACCTTTATGGAATATTTTGTCTTCAATAAAACTAGAACGCTCCAAACAAAATGAAGAAAACATGATACAACATCAATACTTAAGTAGAATTGTGTGAATTGCATTTATCAGATTGTTTTTAACTTACCAAAATGATCTGAGGCAACACATAGACTATCTATAAAGAAAGCTAAAATTATTATTAATTTTTCGAAAAGTATATTATTCATAGACTTCTAAGTATATGTAATACAGTCAGTATAAAATCTGAGTTACATACAAAAGATCTCATTTTTATATAATTTATATATTCACAAGCACATTGAAATACATTATTTAGGGGTTGGTGTTGTGATATAGTGGGTAAAGCTGCTGCCTGCAATGCCAGCGTCTCATATGGGTGCCGGTTCATGACCTGCCTGCTATACTTCTGATCCAGTTCCCTGCTAATGGCCTGGAAAAAGGAGCAGAAGACAGTTCAAGTGTCACCCACACAGGAGACTCAGATGAAACTCCTGGCTCCTGGCTTTGGCCTGACCCAGTCCTGGCCATTGTCACTATCTGGGGAGTGAACCAGTAGATGAAAGTTCTCATTCTCTCTCTCTCTTTCTCTCTCCACTCTGTAACTCTTTCAAATAAATGAAAAAATCTTAAAAAGAAACGTACTATTGTATTTTAGTTCCAACAGTTTACTATGTATTTTTAAGGAAACTTATTATTCCATATACATCTCAACTTTATGGAAAATTGTTTAATCTCTCAACCTCTGTCTGCTCTTTTTGAAAACTGGAGATAATGAAATATCAACCACAAAGGGTTGTTGTTAATATTAAATGGTCATTGGGCCGGCGCCGTGGCTCAATAGGCTAATCCTCCACCTTGCGGCGCCGGCACACCGGGTTCTAGTCCCGGTCGGGGCGCCGGATTCTGTCCCGGTTGCCCCTCTTCCAGGCCAGCTCTCTGCTATGGCCAGGGAGTGCAGTGGAGGATGGCCCAGGTGCTTGGGCCCTGCACCCCATGGGAGACCAGGAAAAGCACCTGGATCCTGGCTCCTGCCATCGGATCAGCGCGGTGCGCCGGCTGCAGCGGCGGCCATTGGAGGGTGAACCAACGGCAAAAGGAAGACCTTTCTCTCTCTGTCTCTCTCTCTCACTGTCCACTCTGCCTGTAAAAAAACAAACAAACAAAAAAAATGGTCATTGTATGTAAAGCCCACTGAATGCTGTCTGGGTCCTAATAAAATATAATAGCTATTCTTCTACTTCATTTTTCTTCGTTTTAGAATCAGAAATAGACCCTATCTTTTAAACCAAAAAACAAAAACCTTAAACTAAATTACTACCTTATCTCAGTTTTTCTCTTCTTGAATTTAACTCAATTATTAAATAATATTGCAAACTGGCCAATTATAATGCAAAGGTTCCCTAGCTGTGAGCCTTTGTTAGCAAAACAGTTTTGTAAGAACAATAAAATGTATTATGCTAATCAACAGGTTTGTTTACTACTACTATAATAAAGATAATGGTATTGTTTCATATAAAATCCAAAATCTAAGAACTCTAATTGCTTTTACGTTTATATTTTTGATGATACATTGTAATATTAATAATATTTAAGGTGTACCATTAAGGCAAATTATGGAAAGATAAACCTGTAATTTTTAGGAGCTGGTGTTGTGACTCAGCAGATGAAGCCATGGCTTGCTATGCCAGTACCCATATAGGAACACTGGCTTGAGTCCTGGATGGTCCAATTCTGACCCAGTTTTCTGCTAACGCACCTGACAAGGCAGCAGAAGATGCTCCAAGTGCTTTGGCCACCACCACCCATGTTGGGGACTCAGATGGAGTTCTGGACTCCTGGCTTTGGCCTGGCCCAGCCCCAGCCATTTGCTGCCATTTGAGGAAGGCACAGCAGATAGCAAATCTATCTTTCTGACTCTCCCTCTTTTTCTGTTGTTCTTTGAAATAAATAAATATTTTTTAAAAACCCTATTTTTAATTTCATAAATAGGCACTTGCTCTTTTTGTTTAGTAACTATGACATATACATATTTTAAAATCTCTTTGGTTTTATTTTGGACTTGGGTCTCTTGTGAGAGTGGAGTGTTTTTTGTTTGTTTTTTTTTAGACAGTATAGCTCTTTCAGGTTACTAAGGAAAACACGTGAATAAGAAAGACATCATTATATAGCAAATGTTGATTTCTGAGGCAAAGATAACCATTTCTAGATAGTACTTTTTAAAAAAGTTATATATTGGGGCCGGCGCTGTGGCTCACTTGGTTAATCCTCCCCCTGCCACATCGGCATCCCTTATGGGTGCCGGTTGCTCCTCTTCCAGTCCAGCTCTCTGCTGTGGCCCGGGAAGGCAGTGGAGGATGGCCCAAGTGCTTGGGCGCCTGTACTCGAGTGGGAGACCAAGAGGAAGCACCTGGTCCTGGCTTCGGATTGGCACAATGCACTGGCTGCAGCGGCCATTTTGGGGGGTGAACCAACGGAAGGAAGACCTTTCTCTTTGCTCTCTCTCTCACTGTCTGTCAAAAAAATAACGTTATATATTTCTGTATTCTGAAACTTTATTAATAGCTGGTTTCATAAATCTAAGAATTCTAGTTTGTAATTTAACTTATGACAATGAATTTTATGCAACATTGCCATTATCATACTAGTCTATTTCTTAGATTTATGAAACCAGCTATTAATAAAGTTTCAGAATACAGAAATATATACCTATTTTTTTTGACAGAGTTAGACAGTGAGAGAGAGAGAGAGAGAGAGGTCTTCCTTCCGTTGGTTCACCCCCAAAATGGCCACCACGGCTGGTGTGCTGTGCTGATCCAAAGCCAGGACCAGGTGTCTCCTCCTGGTCTCCCATGTGGGTGCCCATACTAGTCTATTTCTATGGGTCTATATACTCCTATAAATCATTGAGACTTTTGGTAGCTTTTACTTCTCTTCTCATTAAATACCCATCCCTCACTCTTTTCTACTGCATTCAAGGTTCACAACAACATTTATAGGCTGTTCTTTTAAAAATGAACATTACAGATTAGATAGGGGATCAATATTTCAGCACTGTTTGTGACTCTTTCAGATATAATTCCAAGAAAAGTATGGGTAGGATCAGGTGTCTATGACTATGAGCAGATCCGATCAATGAAATCTCTCTTAAAAGACAGAAGAGTCTTGATGAAGTAGCCACACAATTCAGTTTTTAAATAATTTATTTCAAGCACATTTTCATTGTTTTTAGGTGTTTGATGTTAATGCTGCTTTGGGAAGTTCTGTTTATAAACATAAATTAATAGTAATATTAATACATAGCTATCATTGAAGGAGAGAAATATAAAGGGATTATTAGTCTTTATTGGGTTAGACCCTTGGCATTACTGGCAGATATTATAACACACTTCAAGGGACTAGGTGAATTTGTGTCAACTAATAAATTGTCACCAGGAGGAAGAAGGCTCTGGGGTCTAAAGTAAATCACATAATTATTAAACATATGTGTTAGCATATGTGAATGAGGAAAACCAACACATTATATAAACAGGCCAAGAAAAACATCTGTAAATTTCTATGTTCTTCAAGATCAAGAATTAGACCAAGAAAAGAGAAAACACACCTGTGCCTGATCAGAATCAAATAGCTTGGTTTGCTTATGACTCCTAATGACCTCACATTAAATCTCTGAGCTATTATTAAAACAAACAGACCACAAAAACAACAAGACCAAAACTCAAACATTTTCTTAGGAAGTTGAGGAAAACATTTCACCATAGACTTAAGATTAGTTTAAGTAGGAAAAAAAAACCTATTTTGATGATTGTATTCTAATTATATATGCCAGGAACTGGCATTAGAATAAACTTAACATTTTCTTCATTTAGAAGAGGAAGAATAATGTGCCATTATTACAATTTGTTTACAATTAATGGTAACATTTGCTTGGCAAAAAAGAGAAATCTCTAGCTGGTTAAAAAAAAAATCACTAGGGGTTTTCATAAAGCCATGCCACGTACTTTTCAGGACACTCCTGGAAAGAGAAGTGCAATTTTGTCAACAGAATTAAGTACAAGAATTGAGTGGTCTACTGCCACGGAGCACCCCGCTCTTGTGAAGGCTGAAAATGTAGAATTGAGGCAAGACTCAGATACCTTTTGAGACTCGAAAGCAGGAGCTTGTAACCTTAAGCATAGGATATGATTCTATGGGCCTGTTTCCAGGAAACAAGATGAGAATGAGCTAGTAGGAGGCAGAATGTTTGTTAGTGGTGGCGGCATTAGTAGTGTGAGGTCTAAGAACCTAACAGGAGTTGGGAAAGAATACTTCCAGGAAGGACAGCAGGGAGGAAATGGCAAACTACAGGCATCCGGTAGGAGGGGCAGTTCTGCAGGTTAGCATGTTGCAGATGTTAAGTCAATCACTCTGCCCTACCTCCCAGTCATAGGTGTACTTGTACTAGGTATTATTTCTCCCATATAAAATGTTACTCTTCATTACATAAAAGTTGATGCTATTCATGAATTGTCAGTAACACAGACATTTGTTTTAAGTCTTCTCTTTAATACTACAAATGAGGTACATTATTAGCATTCACATGATGGAGCACTGTTACAACCACTGTCTACTAGAAAATAGATTTTAACATTTAGAAACTATGTGTTGTACTGCAACGAAAAGAAGAAAAATAGTTAAACATTTACCTGCCAGATTGTCAATTTCTTTCTCCTGTAGCAGGCTGACAGCATCGTCATCTCCTTCCAGCATAAGTTCTGTCTCTGCATTCTGGTTCACGATCGCTTGACTTCTGAATGTTTTCTTTGACTTCACTACATCTTCTTCAGTGCCTAACCACAGAAGAAAGATGATAGCTTGGGTCATTGTGCTTGTTTTTGTCATCAATATTAGAAAGAACTGATTACTCTTTCAAAATTCTATGCTGCATTTACATTTTACATGAACATTACTTACAAATGATAGATCATTTCTAACTTCTTTATCTTGTTTGTCACGGATGTAATTACCTACCACTATTTTGCAGATGAGGAAAAAGCCTGAGAAAGCTACCTGCACTGTTGAGGAACTTAGGAGTTGGATGGTGGTAGGGAAAGTATTCTATAATCTATGACTTAGGACTCTTAAAATGCAAGTTTCACCAAAAAAAAAAAATTCGCATCTCATTCTAAATTTGTTTTTCTGATCCATAAAGTTATACAACCTTACATAATTATACTTTTGTGTGAGTTAGCTAATCAACTTATCAGACCATTTTGACAAGTAGATAGGTCTGCAAAAAATAACAACACATTCATCTCTGAGGGCAAAATCGCTGTCACTGGGAAGCTCCCGACACCTGGGTTTAGGAATGATGAGAACATGATCAGAACACACAACAGCTATTTTTTTTAGCAATTTATGAAAGATACACTCGTTTTCTGAAATGACATTCTTATTTCATTACATAAAATAGAAAAAGCCAAAAGCCAAACACATGAAAACACTCAGAAAAATTGAAATATTGCAAAATTTGAGCTAGCACTAACATAGCAATCAGTGCAATGCTTAGAAACTATTCATAATATATTTGAATTTCTTTTGGATTTGACAGCTTAACAACTATTTTTATATTTACATGTGAACATCTGCTTTGGTAGATAATTATAAATCTAAAATTACCTGACCTGCCAGCACATTTTACACACACTCAGGAGATAAATATTTGTATTTTTCATTTTATTTAATTACTTATTTATTTATTTGACAGAGTTAGATAGTGAGTGAGAGAGAGAGAGAGAGAAAGGTCTTCCTTTTCTGTTGGTTCACCACCCAAATGGCCGCTATGGCCAGAGCTACGCCGATCCGAAGCCAGGAGCCAGGTGCTTCTTCCTGGTCTCCCATGTGGGTGCAGGCGCCCAAGCACTTGGGTCATCCTCCACTGCCCTCCCGGGCCACAGCAGAGAGCTGGACTGGAAGACGAGCAACCGGGACTAGAACCTGGTGCCCACATGGGATGCCAGCGCCTCAGGCGGAGGATTAACCAAGTGAGTCATGGTGCCAGCCCAAATATTCGTATTTTTATGCTTAAGGTTGAAATTCAGTTTGGAAGAAAACAATTGTAATGTACTGTGTTCTAGCTGTAGTATAAGGATGTATGCATCAAGAACAGAATGAAGTAGGAAAGTATCTTGATATCCGATTTGTTTGTGTTAGATATATTCCTGGAAATGGGAAATGGAAAAATATATCAGTCTTAGATGGTGCTGTCATACAATAGTTCTAGGTGATGTTATGATACTGTGTACACAAGCAACTGCTCTCCAGATCATGTCATGCCTGTGGCTTACATTCTCTCCTATTACAATTTATAATACTTGTGGTCAATTCTCCAAGGCCCAGGCCATAAGACTTCCAACAGTTCATTACAGCCTGCTGATGTGTGTTGAACTGTTTTCTTGGACGTGCATCTAGGTGCCATAAAACTTGCATTGTAAAACAGTGCTGGCCTTTTCCGTTTTGCTTTGCAGCATGCATACTTCTTTCTGTCTGTGACTGTAGGCAGTTGTGCTTGCTAAAACATGAACAAACTGATTGAAATAAAAGGCCAAAGAGGTGTAAAAACATGTTAAGAATATTCACATAGTGCTAATGGCCACGAAGCATATTCTATTGTCTTCCCTGATACTGGACAGAAGCATTTATTAAATTTATTTTTGTAAGATTTATTTATTTATTTAAAAGGTAGAGTGACAGTGAGAAAGAGAGAGGGAGAGATAGAGAAAGAGATCTTCCATCCACTGGTTTACTCCTCAAATGACCACATGGCTGAGGCTGGGCTAAGCTAAAGCCAGGAGCCTGGAACTCTATCTGGGTCATCCATATGGGTGTCAGGGGCTTAAGCATTTGGGCCATCACGATGCCTCCCAATGCACATTGAATCAGAGCTCTGTTATGGGATGCTAGCCTCACGGGCAGTGGCTTAACATGCACCACATCAGCCTGTGGGCAGTAGCATTTAGAGAATATGGTTACTATATAAATTAATATATAAAGTAATAGATTTCTAGACATCTATTTTGATAAGTACTTCAAGGACACAAAATATTATTACAAATCAATGTTGCATTGGAGGTGAGTAAAATGAAATGGGTTACATGTATATTGTTTCACTGGCCCACAGAAGACTTACTTCTGGAGTAAAAACTTGAGGACAGAACATTAATGCTCTAGGAACTTATCCTAATTTTATTGGATTTTTTGATATAAAATCAGCACAAGAGTAATCTGTGGTAGTGGTGGGGCCTGCTATCTTTATCACTTACAGCTATTACGTGGTAACTTAACTGGAAAAGTCCTAGCTTTCCACATAAATAAAAAAAGTTAAATTCAATGATGAATAATCTAGCAGTCTCCCTGTGGTCCATGAAGCTGTATTTCTAAATCTCTTTGCCTGCCTATTACTAAAGGAACATTCCCCTAACTGAGCTAATCGTATCTTGCTCTTCACCTTCCTCCTATTTAGAACAATCCACTTACTTGAGCCAAACACCTAGGATTCACCCTGTATGACCACTGTCACTGCCCTAGATCAAATCATCGTTGTTTTGATCCAGAGTTTCAATAGCTGCCTTACTTATACCACCCTCAATTCTTTTGTCAGAGTGACTATTGTAAAACACAAACAAGTTGAAGACATTTCCTGCTAAACATTGTTTACCAACTCATCCCAGTCAACAAGCCTCGATTCAAGGCACATAATGTAGGAAAAATCTAAACACTGTAGTTAGCATGGTTGATCAATGCCTTTTACCCTCATATCAGTTTTCTGTTCTCCATCATTCAACAATATTGGACCATTTGTAGTTTCCGAAATATGCCATGCCTTCACGTATCTTTTGACCTATGCTGTTATCTCCTCTTTTATGCCTTCCTTCTTACTTTGGCTATTCCCATTGGCTCTTCAAAGTTGACTTCCTTCAGGTGACTTTCCTAACCAACCCCTCTGTACTTCCACAGTTTACACAGAATTCAACTGCCTGGTAGAGGTGTTACCTTTATTACTGAGGCTACAGAAATTAGTCCATGCTTCATGGAGAAGACAGACATTTGTTGAACTGAAGGTCAAACTCCTGCCCTCCCATGCCCTTCCGTAATTTCTTCAGGTGGATTTGTGCCCTCTTTCCTATATGCTTCCACCACATCCCATAAATCCTGCTACACAGTGGTTTCAGGTACTGCGATTTCTTACGCATCTGGGCAATGGCCTGGAAGCTCCTGCTCCTGGTAACTGGAAACATGTTTTTGTCTTTATAGTCTCAGTACTTAGCACACTGCCTGGCACAGAGAAAGTTGTTGTAAATCCTGAAATATACTAAGACATAACAGTTACCTCCGGAGATTTCTACTTCCCAAGTTCCCAGGATATCTCAGCACACTGAAGAATCTATGTACATGTGAAAAAGAATGTAGTTCTTTATGTGAAAACCAGTGAAGCTTTGTGTGAGTTAGCCTAATAAACCAAGTTTTTCCTTGTATCATACTCATGTGTAATCTGCTTTGTCAGGAAAATGAAGAAAAAGCTTTACATCATTCTTGGGTGACTAAAAATCTACTAGTAAAGAAAATGTGGGAGAAGGAAACTGAGCTCTGGAGTGTTTGTCTAACTTTTATTACTATCCCTTCTAGTTTTAAAGCAATAATTGCCTTCTAGTTTTAAAGACACACAGTAAACTGCTGTATAACAACACACTGAACTTACCATCCCTGCCGAACTGTTCAGTTCGCAGCTCAGTAAACTTCCTGATTTTATGGTATGGCACCAAGCATTTATCTAAATTAAAGTGTATGAGATCTAAAGGTGCTGTTCAATCACAATATCCTTTATGAATTAGAGTTTCATTCATCAAAATTACAGGCAAAAAGAGGTAAGGTCTCAAAGGGCTGTCTCATTACAAGGCTTGTAAACATTGTCCTTAGAAAGAATTGGTTTAACACGCAACAAATCAAAATCTGATTGGGAAGAGAATTTATTTGAGATCATCTATCTTCAGAAGACATGCTGGACTGAGTGCACTTCTTGGCCTCTTCAGCCATTTATCAAGAAATTAACAAGCGAATACCACTAACCACCAGAACACCTTAGATTTCAAAATATGAATTATGTGTAATGTCTAGATAAGATAGACATATATGATTATTTTCTATGAAAACATTAAAATGCCATAAAATTTTAAAGTTTCAAAGGTAAAAATGCCATCAAATTAGTGAAGTCAAATTTAAAATTATACATTAATTTCCACATCATGTGGCAAATATATACTTGAAAGTGCTCAATACAGACTTCTTAGTAAATATCATATTTGAAGATTAAATATGAAAATGTTATCTAAAATATGTTGAATGAACTGGAAGTTTCTCTTTCATAAAATTTTTCTTAATAACCAGAGATCCATGTGAAACAAAGTATATTTTAAAAGTGAAATAACAGGAGAACTAAGATGTTTCCAGTGTTCTTACTAAACTCTATTATTATAATTTTAAGCAGTTATTTAAATAAGCATAAACAAATTATGAAAATAAAAAATGAGAGGCATCAACTTATCTAAATTATATCAAATGATTTATCTACCTGAAATGTCCAAAAAAATCAAGGCAAAGAAATTAAGTTCATTAACTCATCATGTTCTTTTCTATTGATAAATATAAACAATATAATGGAAAACATGACATAGCAGTTTATTTTTTGTTGACATTGCAGTTTATTTCTGTTTAAGGAATTATTCTATATTCAACTTTAAACTCTATTAATAAAACTGTATAAAAGAGCAGTTCATAATAGCTATGAATAATC